ATAACATTATAATTCCCCCATGGCTGAAAGGGCGAGCATGTTTGGTAGGATGGGGATTCAAAACTGCGACCCTGAGATTGCGAGTCGAGCACCCTAACCATCTGGCCATGCCGGGCCAACCAGATAAGAAACAGCAGTGTAGTTCACCCAAGAATAATACAAGAACTTTACAATTAGAGGTCACAATACAGCATACATAGTCTATCTGCATTACCAAAAAGAATGTCTATGTAGCAAGGAATTTAAATGAGCATGTGACTAAGATAAAAGCCATAAGAATAAAAAAGAATGATCTTACATGGTAATAGTTAATCTTAAGACAAGAAACATTCAATTTGGATGTAAAACTATGTGGGATCTCTCTCTATTAATACAGTGGACAGACTTGTGTTCTTCCTTTTATATTAGCCAATTTGGCCAATATATTATTCTGTCAGTCTCTTGCATCTCAACATGAGATGAAAGGAACTGGCCCATTTAAAAAACTGTGCACTCTGAACCAAGAAACCAACTGAAGATGTCCAAAGTTGAGAAGTTGAACACTGTCTATTCCAATTGCTGATTGATAAAATCTCAGAAGATTCCCATGCCATTTGTTAAAGAATGAAGATGAGGAACATTCCATATGACTGGCTTAAGATGAAGTTTAACAAAGTGTTCACTTTTGTTTATAATGTGTGATGCAACATCCTTATTAACCAATAAATGTGTTGAATTTGAAGCTTTAGTATATACAAGTAAAAAAACAATTCACAATTAGAATATTTAGAGACAAAATACAGACAGAGTTTTACTGTGTTTGCTACTGAACTTGAAAGTATGATGAAAATAAAAAATATATATACTTATACTCAATTTCTAACTTATAGATTGCAATCAGAGAAAGAGGACTACGACATACCTTCACAAACTTTATAAAAAAAATTTAAGTAATTTTTAGTACCTGAAGATTTTTAGTAAAATAGAAATTATTATATGGCAGTTGACAGTGTTTGAAAAAAGAGAAAAAGCTTTTCATCAGTTCATATTTAAACAGTCACTAATGTAAGTGCCTACATTATCGAATGTTTAAGTATTACCTTATGAAGTTCTTAGGCTCAAAGTTTATTAAATAAATCACCTTATAGTCTAATATCTATTCTAATGTTATTATTATTTTCTATCTTGTAACTATTTTATGTATGGCTTTTCATCTTCAGGTTTTTGTTTTAAGCAACATGTGATAATACTTGGCCAGCCAATTGACTAATTTTGTTTTTACCATCAAATATCCAACCCCAGACTACAGAGTTCTACTTTGTATACACATGTGTATGTACATGCATAATAAAGTGGCCATCAGTATTATTCTCTTGACTACAATGATTTTCAGCTATGAGTGAACATTCACAATTTTGTTCATAAAACAGTTCACACACAGAAATCACTGTCCTGGTTTAAACATTTAACATTAAATTCTATTCTTACTAATAAAAAATTCTAAGATATTCTGACTATCATATTTATTACTTTTTGATTTTGTTTTTGTAAAATTGCACAAAGTTACACAAGGGCTATCTACACTAGCTGTTAACTGTATCTAATTTTGAACTATTAATTCGAGGGAAGATTGCTGGGCAACAGCATTCACAGCCAATTCTTGGGCTACTCTAATCAAATAGTAGGATTTGTTCATCATTCTTATAATGCACTCAAAGCTCCAAAATGTGGAACAGGACATAAATGGTACACCAACCACTATGCCATGCCTGGCTCTAAATTTTGTGGCCCATCTGAAAAAAGTGTGAAATGATACATTTTTTTATTTTAAATCATTTACTTGTTTTGTGTAAATATGTTATTTTTTTATAATGTTGGCATTATGTCACGTGCATGTTACAGCAAAATTTAATGCATTTAGGAAGAGAATTAACTGAAATTTATAATAAATTATATTATCTAAAGAAAATAATAACTTAAATTATAAGATTGAAATTTTAATATTAAAAAGGTACAAACAAATATTCAAATGTTAAAATCAGTGTTTTAGCTGGTGGACAGAAATAATTTCCTCAATGAGATAATGGAAAAATTCCCATTAGAGACAATACAATGTAAATGTATGTATACTGTTTCTTTTATTTTTATTTCTTAAAACACAAATCTAAAAAGAAATATGGAATAAGGACATACAAATAATACAAGTTACCATTTTGTTGAGTGGCAGAATATGGTGGTCCTTTCTGTTGCACATACTCTGTTGCTGGTTGAATAAAGTTAAATGGACAGACATATACAGCTTTTTTCCACCGGTTCACCAGATACAGCATACGATGAAGTGCTATAATAACATATGTCAAAGACCGAAATAATGACAGGGGAGACAAAATAATGTGGTGGTCACCGATAGGTTCCTCATTGATTTTGGCAAGCATGGCTATAGTAGTAGCTTCTGTGGTTTGATATCCACCCATTAGTTTTAACAAATACTTCTTCTGGTAAACCAATGACCGCCTGTAACTCTCAGCATGACGGTATTTGTAATACGCCTTGTAAAACTGCAGAAATGAAGGAAGTGTATTGTTATTTAAACACATATTTTTAAGTAAAAAGGATTTCCTAAACAATTATTCTTTAATCATTGAAGTTTGAATTTAGTTAGTTTCTTCTCACTTACACAAACTTAATGTTTTCATGTTTAAAAACACATTCAGTACTTGCAAACTTCAACTTAGTTAAAAATCATGTTCACACTACCTTTAAAGCAATATACTATAAGCCTAAAATATTTAATGTTTAGCAACTAAATATTTGTTAAGACAAACCCATTAATGTTGTTTATTTAAAAGATCTAAAGAATAACATCAACCAAAATATGTCAGATGGTTGTTATACACTGCTTACATAATATATTTTGTATGTAATATTTTCAAATGTACCAACAAAAGAAATCTTTAACAATATAAATGTAACTGTGCAAATTCAAGGCCATACATGCACACACCTAATCTCCACAAAATGAGGGGTTTGTGAATCTAATATGCAGTGATTTTGACAAGTATGAATAAAAAACACAAGACATAGTGTCGTCAAAATGAAAATAACATAAAAATTCTCTACTTGCTGAAACACAAGTAAAAAGGTAAAGTAAATAATAAAGTAAACTTAAGAAGATGAAACATACAGAATCAGTAGTCTAATGAGTTTTATGTACCACAACAAAATTTCCACAGCTCATTTTGACTCCTTTAGAATGACAGCTCAATCTCCTTTAAAAGCACCAAACTGCATTCACAAAAACATTCGTCTTGCAGCTGACCACTCAGAAAGGGGAACTGGGATGTTGAAGTTTTTCTGTTACCTATGACAGCTGCAAGGTATCCTCCAAGTACAAGGCCAAGAAGTTTACAACTACCTTATGAAAAAAGTAGATAAGTTTCTTGACCAGTTAAGCTATGAAATTTTCCAAAATCAGTATTTGGACGAATTTTAGAATTTTTTTAACTATGAGATATGGAAGAGTAAGATATGTTGCATTTTGCAACTACACAACTACTGCTGTAACATTCACATTAAAAACTAATTACTTATTAATGTTATAATATTACTACAAAGGTTTAATAAACATCTAAATTTCTTTCTTTTTTGTTTTACTAATGATTTTTTATTTTATGTTTATTATTTTCTCCCCCCATAGTTTTTCATTGAATGATACATTTGCTGACAAGTTCTGTTGATTTTGTATTTCACTGTACATACATGTGAATAAAAAAGGTGTTTGAACTTACTGCACTGAACTTACTTTGTCTTGTATGAATCACACAAATAAATTTTCTATTTGATAGTTGCAGTACAGTATTATAAATACTTGTGTTATTAGTATTTTAAAAGTGAATATTAATATTATCCATGTTACTATTCAAGTTGAAGGTAAATATAGAAAAGTGAGTTTGGACAATTATAAAACAAATATTCCATTTGCCATTAGGAAAGAAGTTCAAATTCACTTTGTAGTGAATGTGTCAAAAAAAAATATATGAAATTTTGAATAGTAAGTATAAATGTATTATAATATTGTACAACAATCTATTTTTCTTAATTAAAAAATTTCTAGAAAAATAAAATAT